GGACCCAGACTGTGGGGGCGATATGCTGACTCTGTAAACCGCTTAGAGAGGGCTGAAAGCCCTATGAAGTGGTATATAAGTCTAACTGCTATTGCCATTGCTATGTTGCTACCAGTGACATTCCAAGGGATTGTATCCTGCACAGTGTTATATAATCTGGTCATCTTTTCTCTCTCTCTAACAGTTGCTGGAGGATATTCAGATGCCAATGAGTGATGATCATTTTAATCTATTAATTGAAAAAATAGGATTCCCAGTTGGAGGCTTGAGTTATCTTGATTTTGTAGCAATGTTTGAAGGTGAGCAAAATACATTGCTAAGTAATATATTGATGCTGAGATACGGATGTTACATCTACTTCCTGGCTTTTCCAAATTCAGGTGGAAATTAACTATTTTGTGATAAAATCTTTACCAAATATGTAATGCACTTGTCAAATTCCAGAGAAATGAATGAACAAGGAAGCATTCTGATTGTTAGCTGGGATCAGCCAGCTGTGCGGTGTGGGAAGCCTGTAGTTTAGACAAGTTGAGAAGAACAACCACTACTAGTGTTGGTCTTATCTTCTGAACTGAAAAGAAGAGAAAGTGGCAGTGGTCCTGCTTGAGTTACATTCTCTTCTGTCAGCAACTAATAAACTTGCTCCTCTATTCAAGAAGCCAAAAAAAAACCCAACCCCTTACTAATCCCTTTCAATTCTTGTATTATGCAAAAAAATAAATAAATAAGAGAGGGCCTGGTGACATCTTTTCAAACTAACACACATTTTATTCAAAGGCATCAACTTCTGTGAGATGACAGAAACTTGGCTGAAGCTTCTCAGAACCTGGACATGACTAGGAAGGAATCAGCTTTATTGTACAACACAACTGGAGCCACTTCAAGGAGTTAATTGCTTTCTGACATATTAGAAAGGAGTAGGAGTAGAAAGGAGTATATACTGTATTTTTCAGAGTATAAGACGCACTGGAGTATAAGACGCACCAAGATTTTTTAAAAAAGATTTTGCACTCTGCAGACCTCCCCAAAATGGCACGTTTTNCCTTCCATCCTTCCGAGGTGGGTAAAATGAGGACCCAGATTGTTGGGGGCAATAGGCTGACTCTGTAAACTGCTTAGAGAGGGCTGTAAAGCACTTTAAAGTGGTATATAAGTCTCAATGCTATTGCTATTGTTATATTTTTGTATGCTGGTACTCTTAAGTGAAGATAATTGAATGAAATACGGTATATGGGCATCTTCTCTCTTGATTTCAGAAAGGGTCTTGTTCTTGCAGTTGCAACAATGCCCATGAAATGGGGTTATGTCTGGGAATTCCATCATGCCATCCCAGCACAACTGTTTCTCTTGGATTAACTCAACAATACACCGCAAGGAAATGAATTGTTTCTTTCTCATTTCTCCGCTCTTGTAGCTCTAAAATTAAACATTCGATCTGATAGCAAAAAGCTATACTAAAATACAAAGCTGCTAATCTCTTTTTAAAGGCTTTCAAAATCTCCCGAAGAGTGATAATTTGTTAATTAGCACATTCTCACTTTTTTTTCCACGTTTTTAAGCCAGTCAGCCATTCAATATTTCTTTTTTTTTTCCAATGGTACATCAGTAAAATGAAATAGAATTGCAAGAACAATTACCACTGAAGCCATTACAAAAGGACTAAAAAAAAAATACTGTACAAACACAAAAGAACACGCTCAAATTAGAAAAGGTGGGGAGAGTTGGAATTATTAAGTGGAGAGAATGGCAAACTGAATTCAGTTCTGCTACTGTATTTTTATCTAGCAGTTTCTACAAATTTTATGTTCAAAACCACACCAAACTACGTTGCTGCAAATTTACTAAATGATGGGGATTTTGTGCATTTTCAAGCATCAATGGCTCTTTCTTGAAACAAAGTTTTGTTGGTTTAGCATGATGGGTATTTATCTATTTTGAATTCAATTCAAGAGAGTAAATATTGTGTATATTGGTTGATGTTGGTTGATAAGAGCCGAGGTGGCGCAGTGGTTAGGGTGCAGTACTGCAGGCCACTTCAGCTGACTGTTATCT